CTATATGATACCTATATAATACCTATGTGATACCTATATAATACCTATGTGATACCAATATAATACCTATATAATACCGATATAATACCGATATGATTCCTTCTACTGTCTTGTTGAAGAGAAATGTCATTAGAACAGTTTGAACTGGGATTTTACACATTTTCCTTTTTTTCCCTAACTTCACAAAACATCCAGTAAAATCACAGAAAAAACATTCATTTCTATGTTGACAGTAAAAAACAGAGATAAGAAGCTAAACGGTGACCGATGTCCTGGTCAGAAGGTGTGTTTGTCCCAGCGCTACGCCATCCTTCCACCTGTGCAGTCAGATTATTTTAAACCAGCACCAGAACCTGTTGGACAGACTGCTGCTGGTCCAGCGCTCTCGTCTTACTTCTTGGAGCCTGTAGGGGGCGCTGTGATGATTACTACACATGATTGTCTGCTGATCAGCTTCCTGCAGCTCTCTGCTGATCCTTCAACACATTCTTGGTGACAACATGACAGAAGAAGTTCTACGGATGAGAACAGCTGCAGCTCGTTGAGACGCTGCGTTTGGGTTTTAGTTACAGAACCGTGAAGAACAGCGAGACTGGTTCTGACTGGACGTGGTTCCGATCCACCACGAGGCCGAGTCACGGCACTGTGCTCTTACATAACCGTCCTGCACACACACACACATACACACACCACAGACACACACACACACACACCGTGCTACTGGTGCATGTCGTTGTGTGTCTGCTGCATGTTGCGTGTGAGTCCCGGCTGATGAAGCTGAGCAGAACCACGTGGTTCCATTCAGGAGAAACGATCAGATTCCGGAACGAAGAACTCAGAAAACTGACCTGAAGTCATCTGAAGGAGATTCAGTGAAACACTGGACGGAGCTCTCATTTGTTCTGTTCTAACACTGGTTCCTGTGGTTCCTGTGGTTCCTGTGGTTCATCTGTTCCTGTGGTTCCTGTGGTTCCTCTGGTTCCTCTGGTTCATCTGTTCCTCTGGTTCCTGTGGTTCCTCTGGTTCNCAACCCTAACCCGACCTGCTGCAGCTAACCCCAACCCTAACCTGACCTGCTGTAGCTGCAGTCATCAGCTCCAGTGAAGCCAGCCGCTCACCTGAAAGCAGCTTCTTACCTGAACAGATGAGTTTCATCAGCATCAACCTGCTCACTGTGCTTCTACTGGAACATCTCAGCTGGCAACGAGTCGACTGCAGCCGCTGGCACCAGGAAGGGCTGGGTTAGGAGGTAGGACGTATGGGGTAGGGGGTAGGAGACAGGAGGCCGGTGGTAGGAGGCAGGAGGTAGGTGGTAGGAGACAGGAGGCAGGAGGCAGGAGGTAGGAGGTAGGAGACAGGAGGCAGGAGGCAGGAGGTAGGAGGTAGGAGACAGGAGGCAGGAGGCAGGAGGTAGGAGGTAGGAGACAGGAGGCAGGAGGTAGGAGGCAGGAGGTAGGAGACAGGAGGTAGGAGGCAGGAGACAGGAGAAGAGATGAGGAAACGTCAGAATCCACAGAAACAAAGTGAACCACAGAAGAAACTGCTTCAGGAACGAATTTAGTGGATTTTCTCCATTATTTAAATTAAAGAACGTAAAAACATCTTTATTGGAGTTAATCCTTAAAAACTGGTCCAACTGTGAAAGATGTTCCATTTAAGAAAAACTAAACTGTAGTTTCACTAAAGAATCTTTTGTTCTTTCAGGTTTAATCACCAGAGTTTTACTGGATTTAAATCTGCAAAAACATCGTCTGAGGAAAAACGTACAAAAGATTGAAGAACAGGTGGAGTTTCTGTTGAATTTTCTTTGTTAAATTAAAGATAATATTTTGAAATATACAAAGAAACGTATGAATTTATATGTTAAGCCTGAAAAAACAAAAACAAAACAGGCCAAACCTGTAAATAACAACCCGAGCACGTCAAACATGTTTATGTCACAACATCACTGTTTGAACCTGAAAAGATGTTCTATATACCTATATAATACCTATGTGATACCT